GCAGGACCAGAGCTGCTGTTGCAGAAGCCCCCAAGGCCTCCGCCAACGCTGCTACCGCAGCCAACCCCCTGGTGCCCAGAGCCAATGTTGATACCTCCACCAGAGCACAGGAAGGGCCAGAGCGCGGGAGGAAACACTGCTACTGTCTCCCTCTTCTGGACACCAGAGCCACCTGCCGCCGCCGCCACGTGCAGAGCACAAGAGCCAAAGCCGCCATCGCCCTTCTCAGCGATTAAGGAGCCCCCGCCGGCATCACCTAATCGCTGGAGCCACGACACCACTGTCTTGGACTCCAGGAACAGGAGCCGCTGCCAGAGCACAGGAGCCACTGATCTCTGGAGCCACGGCCGCCTCCGTGAGTTCAGAGTTGCGCAGGACAGGACCCAAGCCAAAAGGACGCTGCGCAAGGCTTGGCCATGGCTCCCGCAGGTTAGGCGGCGGGAAGGACAGCCTCCGTCACTCCCACCGCGAGTTCACCTGCGCATTCCTGGCTGCTCCCCCAGGGGCAGAAACCCAGCAGAAGATGTGGAGCACCTTGAAGAAGAAGGTACTGGGACCCACTCGGGGAGGGTGCAGGCTCTTTGGGTGAGGTGCAGCGGCTTTTCTAGAGGTGCTCCTTGGCAGCAGGAGCCGCCACTTTAGAGGGCAGCTCATCTATTGGAGGCTTCTACCTCTACAGGGCTGGAGGTGTGGCCTGCGAGTTTGTGGTTTGTGGGATAGAGGCAAAGGGATATCGCTGATGTCGGTAAGCTGTGTTAAGGGGCACCTTGAAGTGTCTGAGTGGAGGAACAGGTGTGTGGGTCTCAGTGAGGGGATCTTAAAAGAGAGACAAACTCCTGGGGACAGGCAGGCCTGTTGGGGGGGTGATGTTGAAAGGGGTTTCCAAAAGGGTCCTACCCTGCTGCGGCAATGGAAGAGGTTCAGTTTGGGGACATAAAGACTCCCTCAGGCACCTCCACATACTCAGTCCTTGGAGCAACCTCCAGGAGCCAAGAGGCCCCCCTACCTGAGAGTTCCAGGTCAGACTCTGTGGACTGCTCTCTTGGCAGGCAGGGTCTTCTCATCCCTATGTAACCACACAGGAGGATGACAGATAGGCTTCTGCTGCTCCTCTGCCTTTTCACTCTCCTTAGGCCCACCTGGAGCTTATTGGTGTTCAAAAAAACAATTTGAAAAATGACTTGAAAGAATATCCATTTTTTTCTTAGAACTATAAATGTCTAGTATGTATTAAACATTAGCTTTTGTGCTAGAAAATCAGTTGTTTAATTGTGGAAACAGTATACCACAAGTGTGTATATTTTATTTAGCAAGTAAAAGTTTAATTGATAATCATGCAGTGAAAATAAAAACAATGATAATATCAAAATCATCCAGTTTCATTGGTAATAACAATGAAAATAAAGATAACATCAAAATAATCTAATAAGAATTATGCAAAGTGTTTTAATGTTGTAACTTCACTACAGTATTATTGACTTTCATTTTCATTTTAGAAAGTGATGCCTGAAGACCCTGAGAGACTTGCCTAAGTCATAGAGCTGGAATATGGAAAGTTTCTCTCACTCCAGGGATCACAGTGTACAAAAGAAATTTGTATACCTTATGAAGTTTT